CTACCCTATTTTCAATGAATAAACTTGTAGATTGATATTATTACATTAATCAGCAAGGCCTTGAGGAACAGTGACACATACTCTAGGATATAAGGTCCCATACAGGCACATGCTACCAGGAGAAAAAGGCAGAGAACAGTCTGGAGCTTAGATGTAGTGTCCATGATGGCTCATGGCGGGCCACCCATCTGGCCAATGAGAGGCAGGCACCAAAGTAAGGGGAAGAGATTGAGCCCTGGCTACTTTGCTGGTTCAGCCCTGAACCTGATCTGGACCCTGACCCTGGTGGGCTTTGTTACCTTGTACAGTTAAGTCCCCTACGTACAAACCTTCAAGTTGCGAACTTTCAAAGATGCAAATGTGCATTTGCATGTCCAATCACGTGCTTTTGTGCACCTTACTGTACAGTACTATATAGAGTACAGTAGTATAGCGTATTTACTTCAAGCCTAGGATGTCTGGAAGCAAGCGTGAAAGCAGCAGGGATGTAGCTGGTACTACTGCTAAGAAGCGCCAAGCAATAACAATAGAAACAAAAGTGAAAATAACTTTGTTGGACTTACAAACAAATTGGACTTAGGGATGAGCTCTGGGAAGAGAACTCGTTCATATGTAGGGGACTTACTGTATTCCACAAACCACCTCTCTCCCTTGGCCCATTCTGAAATGTTATAATCCCTTTCCATTCCCCATGTGTACTAAAACATCATAACTTAAAAAGAAAAAAGCCACACAAAATTAGCCTTAAAAAAATAAATTTATCTCAAGTCTGAAATAACTGAAGAACAAGAATACAGCAAAATAGTACAAAAAGCAAAAATCAGAACATGAAAAATGACTTAAGACTGACAGGCGTTCTTCTGGCAATACTCTATGTTTACACATATTTTTAAAACACATTTTTAAAGACATTTCTCCAACATTCACAAAAGGCAAAAGCTATATTTGCAACATTTATAAATACAAGAGCTTTTGAAAGCATCCAGTTTCTTTCTAAAATCACTTGATTAAAATTTACACAAGTGATAGTTACCAACTCCATATTCCAAAGATACGACATAGAATTACATGACATTCTTGTTTGATGTATTACAGACAAATTTAATTCAAAATACAGAAAAATTATCAATTCATTTTGTGTTTTGTCACATCATATTTCATTCTTTTTCTAATCAACAAGGAAAAATACATATGACATATATGTATATATGCTTTTTAGAAATAAAATATTCCAACTTTTATCTGTAATTTGTTCAAACCTCAGGAACTTGACAAGTATATGATTATTTGAAATAACATTGACTGTTTAAAAGTAAAAACAATTATTTAGAGGAGGTACCTTAAAATATATTTTTGGCCATAAAATCTGTGACGTAAATATCTAAGGAAGTTAATGATTCAGCATATTGTGCCTGAGCTATCACCAACTGAACAAAAAGGCTAAAAACAGATTTGATTTTATTTTTTAAAAATTTTGTCATGCATATTTTTTAAATTAATTTATTTTTGGCTGTGTTAGGTCTCGTTGCTGCGTGAGGGCTTTCTCTAGTTGTGGTGAGCAGGGGCTACTGTTCGTTGTGGTGCACAGGCTTCTCATTGTGGTGGCTTCTCTTGTTGCAGACACAGGCTCTAGGTGCATGGGTTTCAGTAGTTGTGGCTCGCGGGCTCAGTAGTTGCAGCTCGCGGGCTCTAGAGCACAGGCTCAGTATTTGTGGTGCACGGGCTTAGACGCTCCACAGGATGTGGGATCTTCCCGGACCAGGGCTTGAACCCATGTCCCCTGCCTTGGCAGGCGGATTCTTAAACACTGTGCCACCAGGGGAGTTCTAAAAACAGATTTTAAGTTCCCTGTATCTACAAGGTAACAACCATAGTTGTTTATTCAACTGTCCAGGGAATTTTTCTACAGCTAGATTTAAGTTCCTGTGGTACAATGATTTGGTCTATCCCCCGATGACTGCATTTAAAATTCAAAAAAGATCTCTGAGATCAAATTTTACACATTCATTATATGGATGAGGAAAGTGCTGCCTGATTTACAGGGAAACTAGAAACAGATCCAGGACATAGACCTGAAGTTCCTGATTCCCAGCTAAGTTCTTCTGGTAACACGTTCTCCAAGGTAAGATTCCACATAATTTACTGTCGTTTGGTTACAGAGAATGTTATAATTTCAGTATAAAGCGATGCATATAGTACACCCAAATCAGAATTGCTAATTCACTTCAAGGATATTCAATGGAATACCTGATTGGCTTTTTGTGTTTCTGTGGACATAATATAAATATTATGGCTGTTTAAATGCCATTACTCTAAAGATATTCCCCATCAGCTTAGAGAGCCAGGACATGAACAACATTGAGATTCTCACTGTAAACAAAACGCAGTGGTAGGCACTGTGGAAATGCATTTGGTCCTATTCTCCTTACCCTGAGCATGTAAAAGAGCAGATGTTCCAACAGTTTGGAGCCTATGCACATTCTGTGGTGAAGAAAAGAATCCACTCCCCCAACACACTGAGGGAGCACAGACCTGGGCACAGGATTCCACAAAGAATGATAAAGATTCCATAAAGAATGATTTTCTGAATTAGAACAGACAGCATTTCAAGAGGTCTCCACTAAATGGGAATACCTAGGCTACCTGAAGTTATTACAGATTTCCTTATCTCAGGAATCTTCAAGACAAAAGGATAAGGTGTGATACAAAAAATCATGAAAAAGCCAGTAACACATAGGATGAAATTTTCTTACTAGAAAGTTATATATTGAAGAAAAAAAGAGTAAAAAAAGGTAGTGGATACAAAACTACTCTATATCAAGTTGGAGTGGAAAAATATAGTGTTAGCATTCTTACGATGAATGGGAAGGCAGCACAGAGAAGAACTCAAGGTAATGAGTCTGTGTCTGAGCTACTTCGCTTAATGAGAACATATGCCTAAGACCAAAGTTATGGGTTCCGTCTGCACACAGAAAAGTTTTTATGGTCACTGACAGTACCTGTTACAAAGTATTTTCTAACAAGAATGTAAGAAATGGGAAAAATCTTAAGAGGTCATCTGGAAGTCTCATCCCAATAGTGTCATTTGGTGGGTTAGAAGTGTCATAGTTGTAGACTGTATTCACACTGAGGGGGCTTGGACAGCTGGTCTGAACAATGGAAAGGGAGATAATTAGAAATACGTTGTACACTTGGTTCCACTGGATAGTTTTATATAAACAAATTGCATGTACTCCTATGTGACTTGAAGGGAATGGACCTCCATATTATCATTTTAGAAAGCCTTCTAAGCTTCCATTTTCTACAAAAAGAACATGTACTTTTAAAAACCAAATGTCAAGAAGCTTACTTTTAGGTCAATAATATAAGATGGGACACTCATTAGATAAATGGTAGTGTTAAAATGAGGTAAACAAAAGTATTTTAAGCAAAATATTGCTTAAATTAACAAATAAGAACAGTAACTGCATATAGGAGTCATACAATAATTTTCAAGTAAGTGTCCATTCCCCACAACCTATAAGCTAAGCTTTATTACTCAATTATCACATGATATTAACTTTTCCTTTCACCTCAAATTGCTGATTCTGATTGCTTGGACATCAGAATAGTTTTTGATTCTTCATCTGTGGGGCTATCAACTGGTACCTGTAGAAAGAATAAGAGGATAAAAAATTTACAGTACGTATCTGGCATATGCCATTATGACAGAGCCACAGGAATAAAAACAACAGCTGATGGGGCAGACGGGTTTATACTCACTCTAGACACACATTTCCCAATAGTATAATCATAAAAATATTCACTACTTACAGCTTTAATATCGCCATTTGTAATTCCTGTATTTATATTGTGTCTTTTCAGATCGGACTTGATTAATGCTGCAAACAGAGAAGCATCAATGGAGTTACCGTAGAGTATGTATAAATATACTTTTTTCTAAGCAGTACAAAATCTTTTTTGATACTGTCAAATTTAGCACTCTACAGTACCATAATATTCCATAACATTCTTGTAGCCTGAAAAAATAACAGTATCTCTCTAAGCCATTAACTTAATTAGCAAGTCATTCATTAGTGAACAAATACAGGATGCTAAGAACCAAGACACAAAGATGAAAAGCACCATTCTTTCCCTAAAGGACACTCCAGGCTAGGGAAACACTGACATGCAAACAATTATAACACTGTATAACAACTCCAATAATGCAGGCATGCACAGTGTAGCGGAAGTGTGGGGAAAAAAATGCCTATGTCAGAAGGAAATCAGGAAAGGCTTACCAGAGGAGATATGTTTGAACTGAAACTTGAAAAATGAGTTGGAACTTGTCAAGCAGATAAGAGGAAAGGGGAAGGTATTCTAGGCAGGCGGAAACCAGTACATGCCAAGAGACCAGGACAGGAAGAGTACAGCCTATTCTTGGCACTAGAGGTAGTTTGGGATCATTGGAACATCAAGTACAAGAGGCAGGTGGCAAGATGGGAGGCTGGGTTGGCAGGATGACATTGCGTCTGAGTAGGGGAGGACATGATCAGGTCTGTGCGTTAGGGAACTCAGTCTGGCAGCTGTGCGGGGGATGTCATCAGCAACAAGGCTAGAGGCAGGAAGGCAAGTCAAGAGGCTTTCATCCTGCCGAGAGGTGGGAAAGCCTGCATGTGTGAGAAATGGTGATATAGGGACAGGTTTCAGAGATATTTTAGAATCGAACCAGTAAGACTCAGTGGTTTGAGGGACTTCCCTGGTGGTCCAGTGGTAAAGAACCGCCTTCCAATGCAGGGGACACTGGTTCGATCCCTGGTCGGGGAACTAAGATCCCACATGCCGCGGGGCAACTAAGCCCGCATGCCAGAACTACTAAGCTCGTGCGCCTCAATGAGAGAGCCCGCGTGCCGCAAACTACAGAACCCACATGCTCTGGAGCCTGTGCGCCACAACTAGAGAAGAGAAAACCCGCACGCCACAACTAGAAAGAAGCCCAGCGCCACAACGAAGAGCCCGCATGCCTCAGCAGAAGCCCCGCGTGCCTCAAATAAGACCCAACGCAGCCAAAAAATAAATAAGTAAATAATATTTTTTTAAAAAAGACTCAGTGGTTTGATAGGATATGAAAAACGGGGATTAGGGAGGGGGAAGTGGGTGACTTGCTTGGACAATTGAATGGATGGAGGTCCTAGTTATTGAAACTGAAAATACAAGATGAACTGGTGTGCTTGGGAAGGTGGTGAGTTCAGTTTTGCACAGGTTGAGTATAAAATCCCATGGGACATCCAGGTCCAGAGATAAATAGATGATTAGACATATTGGTCTGAAGTGTAAAAGCGATCAGGGTCTGGAGGTACAGATTAATGTGGTAGTTAAGGCCACAGACTGCACAAAGAGAGTGTAAAACAAGAAAAGATAAAAGTTTGTGGGTAGTTAACTAATCTAATCAGTCATAAGGCAAAGTCTGAAAGGTGAAAGTAAAACCAGTCTTAAAAATTAGACTAATGCTTCTTTAGAAATCCACACTGCCCCTTAGAATTCTGTTCCATTACTGATACCAATATTTTAGAAATTCAGATATTTACGCTGAACTAATTGGACATATGTAAAATGGCCTTTCTGAATGCATTTAAATGATTTTAAAGTGATGTTGTATAACAAGCTCATATTTACAAGCAGCTTGATATTAAAACGTCATGCTTTAAATTGCAGCAATGATCAATATCGGCTGATCCGCCCGACACTGTTGTACAATCCACCAAATCAAAGAGGCTACTTAGGGGGAAACTGTGGATTTCTTTACCATTAATATTAATCATAGAATTTAGAAACACTGTGAAGTGTTTAGAAACACTTTTTTCAATGGACATAAATGGGCTAAGGAGCCTATATAATAGACTTTACAGAGAGCTGTCAATACTGGAAAAGCAGAATGTACTGCATTTAAATGGTAATTCCCCTGTCAAAACAAGACCTGCCAACAATTCTCAAAAAAATGTAAAAAGAAAAGGTACCACCTTCACCACACCTCAGGAATTTCCCAGCCTTCTTTCCTCTGTCTAAACAAATAACTACTGGATATAAATCCATCATCTCTCTCCAGTAAAACATTCAACATATGAGAGACATTAATTAGCATTTTTAGGTGGCAAAAGTATCAATGTAAAACTAATTTTAAAGATCTTTTTTTCACTTCTTAATTAATTTTCTGTACTTCACCTGTTTGAATGAACATTTATGAATCTTACTATAAGATAATGTGAAAAGAGAACACAAAACTGTTCCCTTTTTTGGTGCAACAGAAACACTCTATTTGATAGCTAGGTGTTACTTCCCTGGAAATTAAGAACAAATATGGAATTATTTATGACAGATCAGTAGTTAAGACAGTTAATGTATTAAATTACATACATTCAGTTACAGAACATTCAGTTTTGTACGCTTTGTTTTACTAACTGAAGAGAATAAGAAGAAAACACTTCCATGGTAGGATGTTTTTCTTTGAGGAAATGGTACATTTAGTCCCTTTGAGTGTAATGAATGAATGATAGTGACCTTAGGTGGTTGTGTATTTCCAAAATAAGTGCTTATCACTGGTAAGCACTTATCATATTGGGGGTTTCAAAAAGAATGATCAGGTATTCAACGAATATAAAAAGAAGCCTTGATTCATATCTTTCTGTTAGATTCTATCCTTGAATCAAGTTATAGCAGATCAAAAAAATAATCCCTCTTCAAATCTCCATGGCTTCTGTCTCTCATGTTGACAAGGGGACTCTGAAAGAAATTAACAAAGTGAAATAACAATTGAGGCCAACATGGGCCTGGAAGCACTACTGGATATAAATCTTGCTTTTTTTTTTTTTGGCCACGCCCCACAGCTTGTGGGATCTGTGCTCCCTAACCAGAGATCGAACCCGGGCCCCGGCAGTGAAAGCTCAGAGTCCTAACCACTGGACTGCCAGGGAATTCCCTATAAATCTCGCTTCGAAATTCATCCTTACACCCGTGTGCCTGGACAAACTATGGATAAAAGTTCTTTTACATGCTCTTTTTCTGGAGATCGGGCACTCTATTCTCTTTCCTGCCCATGTCTATTCTGACTAAACCTAAGAAGAACTGGCAAATAATTCCACACGCTATTTCCACCACCACCATTTGACTTCGTCCCATGGTTACCACATTATAATAACAGCCTGGGACTTCCCTGGCGGTCCAGTGGTTAAGACTTCGCCTTCCAATGCAAGGGGTGTGGGTTCGATCCCTGGTTGGGGAGCTAAGATCCCACATGCCTCGCAGCCAAAAAACAAAACGTAAAACAGAAACAAAAATTCAATAAAGACTTTAAAAATGCTCCACATCAAAAAAATCTTAAGGGGACTTCCCTGGAAGTCCAGTGGTTGAGAATCTGCCTTCCAATGCAGGGGACATGAGTTTGATCCCTGGTGAGGGAACTAAGATCCCACATGCCACAGGGCAACTAGGTCCATGTGCCGCAACTACTGAGCACACAAGCCACGGGCCACAACTAGAGAGAAGCCAGTGTGCTGCAACAAAGAGCCTGCACGCCACAGCGGAGGATCCCACATGCCGCACAACTAAGACCCGACGCAGCCAAAAAAAAAAAAATCTTAAGGAAAAGAAAGCAGGGCTTCCCTGGTGGCGCTGTGGTTGAGAGTCCGCCTGCCGACGCAGGGGACAGGGGTTCGTGCCCCCGTCTGGGAGGATCCCACATGCCGCGGAGCGGCTATGCCTGTGAGGCGTGGCCGCGGAGCCTGCGCGGAGCCTGTCCTCCGCAATGGGAGAGGCTACAGCAGCGAGAGGCCCTCGTACAGCAAAAAAAAAAAAAAAAAAAAAAAAAGCAGCCTATGTGATACATGATCAGGCATGTCCTAGGTGCCAGACACTATACTAGGAGCTTTTCATCAACCATCTCAGTTAATCCTCACAGCAACCCCCTAAGGCAGCCTTTTTTTGTTATTGTTTATTTTTTATTCGTTGCTCTAGGGAGTACACTGTGCATCTTTAATTTATCACAATCTTCTTAGACTTTATATAGAATTACTTCAAGAAAGATGTAGAAATCTTGCAATAGTATAGTTGCATTTCCCCCTTTCTTTTTGCTATTTTTACCATATTTATATTACATCTATATACATTTTTTTGAGATACAATTCACATATCACAACATTTACCCCTTTAATGTATACAATTCAGTGTTTTTAAAATTATATTCAAACAATTGTATAACCATCATAAAGCAGGCTTTTAATACCCTATTATATAAATGAGAAAGGGAGGATGTGAGAGGTTGAGTAACTTTTCAAAGTCACACAGCTAGTGAGCAGCAGAATCACAACTTGAGGCCAGGTCTGTCCATTCCAGGCCTTTACTGACACTTGTTACAATGGTTTTGTTTTCTATGCATAGTAATTGCATTGAATTTGAAACCCGAAAAATGAATTCATAGATTCATCTCCTTGAAGGGAAACAATAATATCCTGCTTTTTATCTCATTTTTTTCTTGAGTTCTGTCAAGCCTTGAGAAGCAATATAAATGAAAATTAAATATAAAGACAACATGACACGAGTACTTAGGCGAATTCCCTAATTTACCTGTTAAAATGATGCCTACAAACATCCAAACGCAGAGGAAGATGTTCCCTCCCTTAGGACCATAGTCTGATGTGAGCTTTCCTTGCGCCAATGTGAATAAAATTCCAAATATCTAAAATAAAGTAAGAGAAATATTTTTATTGTTTGCTTCTTTAAAACAAATATAATGTTTTCCCCAGAACTTTTCTTAACTATTTTATTCATATGATTTGGCTTCTAGAAACATGCATTGAAAGGTGGAATTTTTAAAACAAAAACTATGGTCAAACTCATTATCCACTAGACTATTTGGTAAACTAATGGTCTCAGATTTAAGAGAAATCAGAGGTTTACCTGTGCAGCAGCATTAAGAAGACCAGATGAAGTACCTTCAGACTCAGGGTAAGTGATTTCAACAGCAAATTCAAAACCCAAGGGGAGGTAACCAGTCATGAAGAAACTAAGAAAATAAATCCAAAATCACAGAAAGAAACATTAAAAGGACAATATCACATATTGATGCAATTGCTTAACTTCTCAGACCTATTCTAATTATCAAGTAAGTGAATGTTTTGAGGTTGGTATGTGAAAGGAAGGCACTATTATGATTCACCAATTAACCCAAGGACATGAGAACTGAGAAGCAAAACCATGAACTAGGAAGCAAAACAGTTTCTAATTTTTTTTCCTGAGAAAAATTTACCCCTAGTTTTCTAAGTCAGTTGTCTTTCTAGCCAAGTAAAGTTACTTGGATTAAGTAAGGCTTATCCATTTTTCACCTAAAGTATAGCAAAAAACAAATTTTAAGCTAATGTTTTATAGTTGTAAAGAACTACACATTGACGTGCACAAGACAGATTTTTAAAGTTTAAAATATTAAAGAACTTTTGAGCAATTATACTCCAATAAAGACGTTAAACAAATAAAAATAAAAAAATAAAAAATAAAATATTAAAGAACTTTTGGATGAACTTAAAAAAGTTAAAAACCACTGTAGTGGTACTTCAGAATTATAATAGCATGCTATCATTCCTCCTAAATACATGTGATGCTTACCCAAGCAACCCTCCAGTGACAAATACGATGATAATGTGTCCAAGGTTTAGTGTGAAAGTAAATATAACCATTCCAACAAAAGACAAAATGTAAACTGTCAAAGTAGTATGTCTAAAACAAAAACAACAAAATTGTTAGTATTTTGTCCGATTTTCTTAGGCATATAAAAATCATGTCTAGCTATGCTCTGTCCATACAGTAATAAATTCTTCAGATTTCAAGATTAACCCCTTCTTATCTATGGAAAATGTTTCCACCAAGGCATGGACTTGAAAGATTAAATTTAAGTTTCAACAGCAACAGACAACAAAACTCACATCATATCCAATGCTCAGTCAAGAAGGAAAACTCATAAGGATAAAATCATTTTTGTGCCACCAAATGGGATAGTTCCCTATCCGTATTTCAAGATACAGATCAAATTCCGCCTCTTCCAAAATGCTCTTCCTAACCACTGCAGCTTACAAGATTCTCCTTTCTTCCAAACTCCCTAATCACTTTCTATCTACATAATTGGCACTTGACATCTATTTTAGTCTGTTATATTATTATTTAACTTTACATATGTGAACACCTTATCAGGAACACCTGATCCTAAGGACAGGGATCAAATATTACTTCCCATTGGGCTTCCCTGGTGGCGCAGTGGTTGAGAGTCCGCCTGCCGATGCAGGGGACGCGGGTTTGCGCCCTGGTCCGGGAGGATGCCGCGTGCTGCGGAGCGGCTGGGCCCGTGGGCCGTGGCCGCTGGGTCTGCGCGTCCGGGGCCTGTGCTCCGCAACGGGAGAGGCCACAGCAGTGAGAGGCCCGCGTACCGCAAAAATAACCAAACCAAACCAAAAAAAAAACCAGGAACTTGGTGAATGAATGGCAGTTATCCTGAGAAGAAAGCCAGGGCAACAAAGAAAATTTCTATGCCAATCTAGTTTCCTAATTATAAAATGGACCAAAGACTATTAATAAATATAAATCCTTTACATATGCTCCCTTCATCTACAAATTTAATGGGTCTTACTCTAAGCTACCATTACGTAATAATGAAGCCACAGTAAGTGCTGTCTTAAATTACACGAGAACTATCTTGGAGAATTTCAAGATCAGCAGTACGTTGAAAGGGTTTAGATAATGGTATCAAATATATCTTAGGCCTTGAAAGGCGCAGAGGACATAGTTCCATTACTTCATTCATTCATAGTTCCATTCATTCATTTCTCCCAAACAGATGGGAAGTTTCTGTCTGTTAAGAAATGTAGCTATTTTTCTTCTTCTTTTTTTTGAAATATAGCTATTCTTTTAAGGCCCAGTGCAAAAGATGCTGCCTCTGAAACCCCTTTCTCAGTCTCCTAGTTGGTATTACTCACTTTTTCTTTTGTATTAGCATTTTTCTGGTTCCATATAGATGTACAATTAATATAGCATCTTCATATTATGTATTACAGTATAATAGTTAAGTGGAACTACAATTCGGGGGCATTTTAGCCAAACAATTTTTACCAAAAAGCCTTTTGATAGGAAAGAACAACTTTTTATTTGTTTGTTTTTAAGTTCATAACATGAGAAAAGAGCAATATAAAGTCTCTGTCAGAAGTCAAATGTTTCTCAGAAAGGGCCCTTTTTAGAATAGAAATGATCCATTCTGAAGAGGTATATGTGAGTATTATTAGAGGGGAGGAGAGTTCATAAGGTATCCAAGTTCTCAAAGCTGAAATAAACAAGACCGATAATACAGAGACTACTGTATTCAGAAGTTAAGGGAACCTAAGAGTGTCTAGAATCCAAGTCTTTTAGTAATAATAACAGTTTGTAAATTTTTTAAAATAAAAAGTAAAGGTTCCTTCAAAACCAAAATACCTTAGGTTGTACACCATACATTTGCCTACTTTCACTTACTTGTATGTTTTGGTATAATCCAGCCATAAACCACAAAGAATAGAGCCCACCATTCCAGCTAACACTAGCGTTAGCCCAATCCTTCCAGCATTCACTTCTTCTCCCTTAAAATGTTTTTCAAAAGAAGTTGATCAGATACTTCTAATTCAAACAGATCCTTCACATTCCAATACCTTCTCAAAGTCAATGGAAATAGCAGATAAAATTAAGCATACAATATAACATGAAGAATTCAGTACATGTGTTAAGGTGAATGGGGTAGAGGAAGGTAAAGCACATGTTAAAGGACATTCTACATTAAAACAGAAAAAAAAACCCTGATATATGGGAGAAATCAAAAAGGGAATTTTTCTTGAGCTTCCACGGTTAGAAAGTACAGTAATTTTTGTTAGAATTCTTAAGGAATTCACAGATGTCTGAAAAGGAAGTTAAGCTGATAGCTTTTACATACTACAACTGCATTCTCCTTTCAAAAACAAAGAGAGATCAGAGCTTGATATTTACATCTTTATATTTGTGTTGGTTTCTTTTAAAGTTTGTTCTTTGTCTTTTTTCATATAACCAGTCACACTACCTCTTTAAAAAAAATTTTTTAAAAGACTGAGGTATTGTCAAAGCAATAATGACTTCTGCTTTCCATGTTGTTTTATAAACTGGATTAAATGTATTCTCAGTGAAAACAAATATAAATCTTTTACAGCAACAAGGTCATAAATCTTTAGCCTTATGATCATGCTAACAGGAATTATATTGCTAAAGAAAAATTCTTGGCCAGGCATGCAACACAATATAGGCAGAAGCTTACCTTATAGTATGTCAGTATAATTTGATTTAATAATGTTGAGACTGAATAAAATGCTCCAGTCATGATACCTACAATAAATAAAGAGAAAACTATCAATGTACCATGTACTAGTTCATAAAGTAATATGGAACACTCTGTGACAGCTGTGAAAATATAATGTCTTCTTAGACAGTTGACAGAAAAAATTAAGACCTCTTGCTATTCCCTTTCAGGATGTGGACTGATCAACGTAACACCTAAACTTACTAGAGATTGTGATTGTGAAATTCTGTCATTACATCATTTACTATTATTTAGATTCAGACAATATGGACCAGAAATCACAGTCCCATGCATAACATTGTATACAGCAATCTAGCAACGGATTGCTTCCTGAGCGCCTACACAAGCTAATGAATGTTAAAGCATTAAGACAGAATCCCTCTTTCAGAGATCTCACCCCTGCATCGAAGACTTATAAGGCAATTAGTAAGACAATGTTAATTAAAGAATACTTAAAAAGGAAAAATAAAAACAGCTGGTTATCAGGAATCATATGACTAGGTTTGAATCATGGAGTTTCTTCACATATGTTGTATAACTTTAGGTCTAAGTCTTTTAACCTAGCTGAAATTTAAGTTTATTGTTTTTCTATTATTAAATATTTCAAGCATACAAAATAGTACAGAGACTAATTTAACAAATACCCTTACTCATCACCCTCTTGCTAAACATTAACATTTTGCCATCTTTGCTGTAGATTCATTTTTTTTAGACCTTCCTTAATCCTATTCTTCCTCAGAGGTAATCCCCATCCTGATCTTGGTGTTTATCATCGTAGATATTATAACATATGTGTATCAATACACAACAGTTAGAATTATTCTGCATGTATTTAAATTTTATATAAATAATATGGTATTAGTATCCATCTGCAATTTGCTCATATCACTCAATATCCTGGTTTTGAGATTTAACCATGTTGATACTTTTAGTTCTAGCTCATCAGTTTTCTCTGGTGTATAATAGTACATTGTGTGAATATACTTCCATTTAATTATCTCTTGTCCTAAGTCAATAGACATGTTAAGGCTTTTTCCAGTTTTTTGCTATTTAAAACAATGTTGCAATAAATACTATGTTTTTGTTCTTATATATAAGGGTTTCTCTAAGTATGTACCTAGGAGTAAAACTTCTACTTTCTAGATATAGCCAAACTACTCTTCCAAATGGGTGTGCCAGTTTATATAGTAAGTCCCCTACATATGAACGAGTTCCGTTCCGAGAGTGGGTTTGTAAGTCCAATTTGTTCGTGAGTCCAACAAAGTTAGCCTAGGTACCCAAGTGACACAATCAGCTATATAGTACTGTACTGTAATGGGTTTATAATACTTTTCACACAAATAATACATAAAAAACAAACAAAAAATAAAGAAAACATTTTTAATCTTACAGTACAGTACCTTGAAAAGTACAGTGGTACAGTACAACAGCTGACATACAGGGGCTGGCACCAAGTGACAGGGAAGAAGAGTTACTGACTGGAGGAGGGAGAGGAGGTGGGAGATGGTAGAGCTGAAGGATCGTCAGCAATAGGAGACGGGGGATAAGCTGCAACTTCACTCACACCTGACATTGATGGAATGCACGTTTGCATCTTTGAAAGTTCACAACTTGAAGGTTCATATGTAGGGGACTTACTGTACGACCAACAGAGTTCCTTTACTCTACCAAATCTGTTTGCATCAGATTAAAAAAATTTTTTTTTTTGCCAATTTGAATGTGTGGGATATTGTATCTTACTTTGGTTTTGATTCGGATTTCCTCAATTACTAGTAAGGTTGAGCATCATACATGAGCAATATACACACACACAAACATATAAATGCCTTCTGATTTCCCCAGACTGTTTGCTCTTTTCTTAGTGATTAATAGGGGTCACTTTTATATTGTGAGTACGAAGCCTTTGTTGGTTATATGCATTGCAGACATTTTCTCATAGCCTATGTCATGTCCTTTTAGAAAATATCATTAGTTTAATGTATATATTTATCAATCTTTTTATTTAGGGTTTATGTTTTTTGCATTAGGAAATTCTTTTAAGAATACTAAAGATGGTTCCCTTCCCTTCCCTTTATTGCTTCTAAAACATTAAAGTTCTGGGGACTTCCCTGGAGGTCCAGTGGTTAAGACTCCATGCTTCCACTGCAGGAGGCACGGGTTCAATCCCTGCCCTGGTCAGGGAACTAAGATCCTGCATGCTGTGCTGCGTGGCCAAAAAAAAAAAAATTAAAGCTCTGATTTTTACCCTTTGATCTTTAATCCACAATTCATTTTCTAATTTCACCTTATTTTTCCTCTATGGCTAATTGATTGTCCCAGGACAATTTACTATGTAGATTCTCTTCTACAAATATCAAGTTTTCATATATGCATAATGTTCTAGTCATCACAGCTGTCTGCAAATATTCTAGTTTTTCTCTATACAGGCACTTAGTGGCATGGCCATATGACTTTAAAGGTGAGTAAAAGTGATACTTCTCATTTCCTACCTGAGTAATCATGGAGACATGTGCCTGGATCCCTGAGTAATTTGCTGCCTACTCACAGTGAACAGGTAGCATTGGCAAGAAATAAACTTTTGATGTGTTTGGCCACTAAGATTTTTTTTGGTGGGGTTTCATTGCTATAATACAACCTAGCCTATGCCAACTGATACACAGGGCCAGGTCCCTCTGTTCCAGTGATCTAATTGCCTATCCCTTACTAATACATGACATCTTGCTTACCACTGCTCTATAAATCTTGATATCTGAGAATTAGTTCCTTACCTTGCTCTTTATCAAAATTACCATTGTTGTTCTTGGCCCTTACTTATCTCACAGTAATTTCAGAATTAGCCAAGTTTTATTACAAACCCTGTTTAAGTTGGAGATTGCAAGATGAGGCCTAGGTCTAAAGATGTTATCAAAAACCCCTGGGTAACTAGCCTTTGTTACTCTCTTCCCACTGAGCTCAGGAATGCACAGGGACTCAGCGAGGTTAGCCTGAGGAGGCCAAGGGAAATAAAGGGGGCCTGTGCTGAGGCTTGAGTGTACTCTACTGCACTGTACCCTACGGTGATCTCAAATCTATTCCAGACCTCAGTGAGGATAGCCAGAATCTGGAGAAAGAATTATAATAGCAAAGAATACTGTTAGCTGAATCTAGAGTATGGTATTTGTCTGAGTTTCAGATAGCAAGTAGCTACAGATGGGAACAGTGAGGGATCATGCTTTCTCCAAATAGCCCTAACTCAAAAAAAAAAAAAAAAAACTTTCTTGGTTTATTTGGTTCCTGAGTTTTGGACACTAAAATATCCTGAAAACCTGTCCTAGGAGTGTAGTGCCTATCCAGACTATCCCATGTACAAGTCTGCTCCAATCTTTTGTATGTAATACTAGGCATGGAGGGGGACAGGTACAATTCCAAAAGGTGTGATATGACTCTCACTCATTCAGACATTATGATCCCTAACTATGCACCCCTTCGGTGACAAATAAGTCAAGAAACTTCTCCAACTGTCCTGGGGAATATTATTGAACTTTCCACAGGGCTTCCCAACTCCCTCTTTCTAATTCCTTCAACAAGTAAACTCTGTTCAGTTTCTGAAGACTGTGTCTGTGTCTGGCCTTTCCATCAGTCCAAATCCATAATTGACATTTGTTAATACAGTGGTCCTGTAAGGTTAACTGACATTATTACAATCTTGAGTCTTCCAAAAACATGGTATATCCCTCCACTTAACTGAGGTCTTCTCTTATGTCTTTCAATGTTTTATAATTTATAAAGTTATTTTTTAACATTTAAGTATAGCTGATTTACATTAAGTTCTTTTTGGTAGATTTATTCCTACACATCTTATACTTTTGGTTGCTATTATAAAATGTATCTTTTTATAAGAATGCAATTGATATTTTCACATTGTTCGGTATCTCATAATCTTTCTGAACCCATCCTTATTAGTTCTAATACAGTCTGTAGGTTCTCTTGAATTATTTTGTAGACCATGGGGTTAGCAAAAACATTTTCTGTAAAAGACCAGACAGTAAATATTTTAGCTTTGCAGGCTATATGGTCTCTGATGTGGCTACTCTGCTGCTCTTGTAGTTCAAAAGCAGCCACAGACAATATGTAAGCGAACACAACTTTATAAAAACCGGCAATGGCCAGATTTGGTTCCTAAGACAATTTGCTGACCTCTGGTATACATAATCATATTATCTGCGAATAATAGCATCTTTTTTCTTTCCAATTCATATACTTTTCATTTTTCCTGTATTAGTGGGCCAGCCAGGACTTTCAGTTGGATGTTGAATAGAAGTGGTGACAATAGGCATCCTTGTTTTAAGGGATACTTCTTACTGATTTTTTTTTTTTTTTTTTGCGGTACTCGGGCCTCTCACTGTTGTGACCTCTCCTGTTACGGAGCACAGGCTCCGGATGCGCAGGCTCAGCGGCCATGGCTCACGGGCCCAGCCACTCCACGGCATGTGGGATCTTGCCAGACCGGGGCACGAACCCGTGTCCCCTGCATCAGCAGGCGGACTCTCAACCACTGCGCCACCAGGGAAGCCCTTCTTATTGATTTTTAAGGGTAATGTTCCTAAGGTTCTGCCTTTGGAATGATGTTTGCTATAGGGTTTTTGTAGATAAACTTTATCAGGTTCAGAAAGTTCATTTTTCTCACAATTGGCTAAGAGTCTTTAACCAATGGGTACTGTATTCTATCAAATGCTTTTTCCTCAGCCATTGGGTAAATTTTCCTCTTTGATCTCTTACTGTGGTCAATTATATGCATACATTTCTAGTACTAAATCATTTCTCACTCCTGAGATAAACCAAACTTCGTCAGGATGCACTATCATTTTTATAAATAGCTGGGTTAGGTTTTCTAATATTTTATTTTGGATTTTTACATCTAGGTTCATAGGTAAAACTGGCCTATAATTTTTCTCTTACACTGTCCCTGTCTGATTTTGATATCAAGGTTATACTAGCCTCACAAATAAATTGCAGATGATAACAAATAAGTTGCAGGTGGTAACAG